ATACTGTTGCCAAGATATATTTGATTCAGTGCTTTCTAAATAATTGTGGAAAAGCTATCCTTTGATATGTGAGCTTATAATATAAGGTGATATTTCCTCAATCTAGCCACCTTCTGAATGTGCTGGAAATTATAGTCTCAACATATCTATCAGTTACCAATTTAGGGAAAAGTGGTCTGATGCAATTACTGTAAGCGTATTTGTTGGGAAACATATTCCACTGAATTTAGGAATGTATATCATTCAGCACATTGCTGTATGAAGAAATTAATATTCCTTTATTTGCAAATATCACTGAAATCTATATTGGCAAATTAAAAAAACTACATATCCACACATGTAATATACAGTAAATATCTTATGTGGTTCTAAGATGTTAGTACAGATCTTACATACAGAGATATGTGTATGTATTGAACGAATGAAAATAGGGGAAGTGAATATGTCTGTGATAATATTAATAGGGGATATGAGACTTCCAGTGGTCTTTATATATTTATAAATCAATTCATTCCTTTGTCAAGTAATAGTGGTTTCATAGAAGTGTATTGGGCTAAATATGCTTCTCTTCTTTTAGGTACTGTCCTCGCTGTGCGCAGGAGAAGAAGAAGAAGTAGAAATGATATATAGTATGAAAAAAAAGTTTTAATATATTCATATGTTGCAGTATTTTGTTTTCATCACCAACCCATCTTGTCCGGCCTGAAATAATGCAGTAGGCAGGTGTTCTTTTTATTAGCCATGTGAATGTTAAAAGTGATGATACAGGAAGTTCATTAGTGATGATTATTTGGGTTACAAAAGTACACTTCGTCATTACAATCAAAGATATGAAATACTCAAGAAAAGATCTGCACTGGAATTTCTTATATACTGAAACCTGTGAAAACTGCCTGTGGCCTTTCATGTGAATAAGATAGCATCTTTTGTTGTCACAAAATGTAGTCACTTTGGGAAGCTTTCACCAGTGCCATTTCACTGGCAGAATGACATGTTTTCTCTTGTATTTTCCAATGCATCCTCTAAAATTATTTTAGAGATTTGGAATGAGCATTGGGAAATCAGTTCAGAATGAAGTAAGAGTCCTGTTATGTGAGAAGAATAGGCTTGCATAATTTTTTATGCAAACCTTTGCTTTGCACAATAAATGTATGAAGTCTTTTAAATATAGTATCAGTATCTTTATCATTGTTGATAAGATGTAGAATCACATAGTTCACTTTTTTAGGTAGATTTTCCATTTGCATAACATTTGATTCTGTCGAGTGGGTTGAGATTTTTCAGTGTACAATTTTGCCACTTTGGAAATAAGTTTGCAAAGTTATATTTTACAAAATTGATTGGGGGAATTCACAATGCTTATTTCAAAATGCATATTGATTCTGTGTACTGTCTCCTCTGAACTTCATTCTGGTTTCACTGAAACTGGATGCATTGCTCTCATTCCTGCTGATAAGCAATACCTGTGATATTAGTATAGCAAAAAATCCCTCATAAAATAAGATTTAATATTTTAAAATAAGTTTGGATTAATAAAGGACCAGGAAAATTAGTTTTCAGGGAATAACAGTTTTAGAAAATGAGATGTTTCCATAACTGCACAAAAGTGTTTGACAGAGTGTTAGGCAGTATGTTCATGTTGTGACTTCACTGAGATACTTTCTACTACCCACTGTAAATATTAGCATTCTTTTCTGATTTTCTCAGGTAAGAGATAGGTATTCCCCCCCAACACACACACACACACACTCTCACACACACTCACACACACACAGCTTTTTGTTGTCCATTCTCTCATAGGTAGGTAAAGGTTTGCATGCTTTTGTATGATTCATGAACCTGACAATTCTGTTCAGCTAGACGAAAACATACACTTGTTCGCCAGGGATTCTACCATACAACCTTCAGCTTTTAAATAGTATATTTTAATTTTTAAAAAAATAAAAAGTGAAGTCAGTTTAAATGGGAGGAATGCGNTCACTGAGAAAAAAAGAGCAAGAAAAACTAAGGTGTATCCCAGGGTGTCTTGATAGGCAAGGAAGTGGATCTTCTTGGCAATGCATTGGTGCTTGTCCTTGTTGGGATATTGGTCTTCTGGGCAGGGTTCACAGTGAGCTGCATCTGAAATCAAAAGTCTTTGTCTATGGATTTCTTGAGCGACCCCCATGCACACTATGTCTCCAGCAAAGATGATACGTGTGTTGCCTTTCTACTGGTGACCTACCCACAAAGGGAATAATGAAAGAACCCATGTGCAATTTATGGGACAGAAAAAGGGGAAACCATCCTTCATTTTTGATGGTCCTGGGGATAGATTAGCCAGAGACAAGAATTGAGTTCCAGCTATCCATTCATTTTGCTCTTCCATGATTAATATGGCTTTCAGTTTGAGGTTGATGCCCATTCCCCCCCCCCATTTTAAAATGGAACACATGGAAGAATGGCAGATCAGTTATCCGGGAATGCTGCATTTTTGTTTGTCATCCCTGCCTTAACATCTCTGCTTTGTACTGTATGTCAAAGCTGTTCATTCATATTTTTCCCACCCTCCTGCTCTATCAAAGAGACATAAATGTTTCCTCAGAGGTTGATAGAGAAGCACACTCTAAATGATCAAATAAAAGCTTGGACCACATGCCCCACTTCCTCAGGAAAAGATTGAAAGTTGGTTTCCCAACTGGATGTGAAATTAGAAATGGAAAGGGAAGTTAGGGATTCATAAATTGTGTCCTCAAACTATCCTTGCTGAGGATCGGGAAAAGTGGCCTCTGTGGCCAGGGCAGTTTAGATCTTTCAACTGAAAGGTTCTATTGAAAAGTATGAGTGCATGTCAATCTGATCAAAAATGACACAATAAGAAAAATATATTGATTTAATGAATGTCTTTGGTTCTTGAAGATTTAGATTTGAAGTCTTGTCTACCTGTCTGATTAGAGATGCTCCCTTCTGGACAAGCATCACACTGGTAGCAGCAAATCTGCTCTCCCTCTGGAACTCTACTCCGCTCTCCTGCATGGCACCTCTTCCTGCCACACCTGGCCAAGGGCACCTTCTGAAAGAGAAATACTTGAAATTACTTAAGCAATGAACCTGCTGCATTCATTCTTTTCCCCATTCCTATTTCTCTTCCTTATTCCTTACATACATGGAATCAATGATAAATCAATACATTATCCTCTACTTAGAGATAAATAACCTGCTTTCTAACAAGCAGTTCGGATTCAGGAAAAAAAAATGTATTCTGTAATCTACAACTCCTACATTGCTGAAACATTTGGACCACACAACTCAACCTGGGTAAAGCAATAGACACAATTTACATAGACTTCTGCAAAGCCTTTAATTCAGTAGTACACAACAAACTACTGTTAAAACTAAGCTTACGGCTTTTCTCGGATCACTGCACAAATGGATAGCTGCATTCCTATCAACAAATAGTCAAAATAGGGAGCTCCCTGTCAAACCCTGCACCAGTTAATAGTGGTGTCCCCCAAGGCAGTGTTTCAGGACCCACACT